ATTTTTTTTTTTTTTTTTTTTTGGTGCCTGGTCAGTAACAGGATCCAAGCCATTGACCTTGGTGCTATAACAACACACTCCAACCAACTGAACTAACTGGCCAGCCCTTTAAATCTTTTCACTCTTCCCTGGAGAATGAAAACATTCTCAATATTCCCATATACAAGGCTGGCACTTGCAGAGCTACCTAAGACTGTAAACAGAACAATCTGCCTTTGGTGCCGTCCTCTGCTCCTGTCCGGAATCCGCTTTCTCATGCCCTAGTCCAGAAGAAGACAGAGGTCTCTCCTTCTTTCTCTCTCTCCCACACCCCATCTTGCAGGCCTGGCACCCAAACATGGGACTGATTTCAGTAGCCTGGTTTAGGGTCCTCTAGATCCCAAGATCAATCACTCATTTTCTCCTGCTACCGAATACTCTGGCCTGGTCACCTCCATGAGGACATAATCTCGTGTCTCTCTGCAATCCTTTAGGCTGGTTGCTTTCCCCACGGTTTTGGCAACCTGGGCAGACCATTGCCTCTGCTTCCTCCCACCTTTTGGGGGGAGGCTGAAGGTGGAAATGCTGAAAGCTGAGAGCAAAGCAATCCATACAAGGAGTGGCCGTGCCAGCCTGCTCCCTGGCCCCACGCTGCGGATTTGCCTGCAGCATGGAGGAAAAGTACAGAAAATAGCCTTGGATTCCAAGTGTCTCTTGTACCTCGTGTCCAGTGCACTGCGCAGAGACGGAGCCAGGCCATTGTTCTCGGCCCACAGACCTTGCCCTGGAGGCATCGTGCCCACACTGCCTCCTCCACAGGTTCTTTCAATCCATCTCTGAAGGCCAAATGTGGACCATTGCACTGAAGAAACTTACACAAGAGATCTGCTGTCTAAATCAAGTGATTGTTTTCTCTCTCAGGGGCAGATTATTTCTGCTGATTTCTCCTTCACGTCAGTGACGTTACTTAAATGCTCCATCTCAGGAACAATGGCAGAGGGGAAGGTTTAGGTGGTGATGCTGCTGCAGGAAGCTTCCTCCTCCTGAAAGCCTGGAAAGGGGGAAGGAGGGAAGGAGGGTGGGTGGCAAGAGGGGTTCCTGAAGGGAGGTGTCAGGGGAAAGGACAACTGGATGAAGGGTTTTCTTGTTGCTGCTTTCCCCAGGCCACCTGGGGGTGGATGTGTCCCTGGAAGGCCGTCTGGCTCCCAGGTCCTAGGCATTCCAGCTGCTCAAGAGTCCCATTCGCCACTCTCCCAAACCCATTATTAAGGAAAGGTTTTGGTTTTCACTGGCCCTCACCCTGACTAAGTCCCCTAACTAGGGCATGCATTGGACTTCCCGGAGTATGATTGTGCTCGGGAGCTCAGGATCAGTCCTCTTCCTGGAAAAGACAGTTATCTCAAGAGGGGAGGGTACCTGGTGTGTCTGCATCATAAGATCTTAAGCCAAGACCTCACCATGTGCACACGGAAATCTTCTGTGCAGGCCTCTGGCTTACAGTCATGCACACATGTGCACCCATCTTGCCCTCTGAGCACACAGCCCTTCTCTGGCCCTGTTTGCTCTCCTCATCGGGCTCTCTGGAGCTGCTTACTGGCTGCGCTGGTCCCTGTAGGGTGCAGACCTCTGGCTTACAGTCATGCACACATGTGCACCCATCTTGCCCTCTGAGCACACAGCCCTTCTCTGGTCCTGTTTGCTCTCCTCATCGGGCTCTCTGGAGCTGCTTACTGGCTGCGCTGGTCCCTGTAGGGTCTGAAATTGATTCATGCCCCAAAGGGTCCTCTTCCTGAGTGTTTTTCATTTTCCAAACATCCATTATGTCATTTAGTTCTTATGACCCTCAGAATAAGGGAAGTATTCCCCCGTGCCCTGAGAAACTGAGGCTCTGAAATGTTCAAAAACCTACCTAGGACCGCGTTGCTAGTAACAGAGCACCCAAAATCCAATCCCAAGTCTGCCTCTGGTGTCTGACTCAACCTCTTTACCACAGCGACTCTCAAGGAAGTGTACGCATATGAGGGAATTTCAGGTTCTATCCAGGGGAGGCACTCACAGAGGTCAACTATGCACTCAGTAGTACTTTCTAGAATGCCTGCTCTGTGCTGGGCACTGTGGGGGGGAGAAAATACTATCAGGCCGTCCCTGTGGTCCCGATGAGTTCTTTTCACAGGTGGGGAGGGGGCTCAGTAATCATCCTGGGAAGTTTCCAGAAGGCTGACATCCTGGGATGACTGGTCTGAGATCTCCCCTCCTAAGGGAGAGGAGGCAGGGGGAGGAATGACATCGCAATGCCTGACACACTGCCTTACCCATAATAGACACCTGCCAAATACTTGTTGGTTCTTAAAATATTAAAGAAAAGGAGCAGCACTTACCACCCATGTCAGAGATATGAAGCATTTTTAAACAAAGCAGAAGGAAGTGTTGGTCAGAAACAGTCCTACAAAGAAAATGAGCTGTTCTCCCCATCAGCTGGAGCGGAGGACACAGGCACCTCTGAGCCTGTCACTGGACAGGACACTGTCACTAGAGGGCAGTGGCAGCTCACTCTTGGGAGCAAGGGGATCCTGTCACCCCCGTCCTCTCCTGGAGAAGCCAAGAGCAACCCTGCTGCATATTAACTCTGCCCAAGGGGGTGGGGCAGGACCTGGAGGTCGGAAGAGATGTGATTTCAACTGAGGATAAAGGTAGTAGTACTTTCGGTGTGTTCATACACAACATCTTGTTTTATTTGACCCTGAAGCAGCCATGACGGGTAAACTGGGAGCTTTAGCCCAATTTGACAGACAAGAAAAGGAAGATCCTTGAGGTTTAGACTCATTCCAGGTTGCCCAGCTAATAAAGGTGCTGTGGGACCAGATGCCACGTCCCCTAAGCCCCAGTCCCAGGTCAAATATAGGGTTGTTTGTAAACACAATAACAGGGACTGAATTCCTTAGTGAAATCCTGGCCACTGTAATTTCCCTTCATAGGCCATTCCCTCTGTTATTTGTTCATTCCCTGGAGGGTTAGGAAGAAACAGAAAAAGGAGATTAAAACCAAATTGCTCAGTCAGATACTTTGCAAGCAGCCTGGATAAATGTTTTAATGAGGCAAGTGATACTCGTGACCACCCACTGCCTTTGACCCTCCCCCCACTGGTCTTTCAAGATCACACACTGGTGACCTTACAGAGTCCTTGCTATCTCCTCCAGCTGTGGGTACGGAAATCCATGTAGAGAATGAGGGACACATGACTCTGAAAGGCACCACAGTCTCTGCTGAGGACCAGCAGCAGGTTCCCACGTAGGAACTGACTAGGTCATAGCCAAAAGTCAGAAGCCCAAGGTGATGGACTTTTTTGGCAGCCCCCCCTCCTGGGACATGGCATACACTAAGACTGGGCTCATTTGAGAATATGACCTAATGCAACAGGAGTGACAGATTCTTTTAGCACATAGACACACAGCAAACATGCAAGGAGAAGATTGGATGAAAACCTACGCACCTTGTAGATATTCCACCTGCAAGATCCAGTGCCAACCCACCCCCATCCAAGGCAGAGCTAGATATAAGTGAATGTTTGATGAGCCTTGGCAGAGCTCGCAGAGGAGGATAGAGAAGTCTGGGGCAAGGGTACTTAGGATGAAAAGGCCTGGGAAAGAGGAGAAGGGGAAAGTCCAGATGGAAAGGGCTGCTAGCTTCCTTTTAGGCACAGTAGTCATGAGGACACAGCCCTGACTGAATGGCCCACCCCAACACCCAACTCTCTGCAAACTCTAAAGAAACTGGAAGATGCTACACATGCCTGAAGAAATGGGCTGTTTTGTGTGTTCACCTGGGCTCTGCATGTTCACTGGGACAGCTCATGGTAAGCCCATGTACTTATAATGCACTGTACCCCTCCTCCCTTCCACGGCTCGTGGTGTCAAGCTCAGGATACACCAGAAAACTATGACTTTTAGGTTTTATTCAGCGGTCCATTTTTCAGGTCTTTGTGGATGTATTGAGATCATGGAAGCATGGTTTTTGCCCTCAGAGAGCTTGTCATCTAAGGGGCAGCCCTGACATGTATCGGGCCAACTTCAACCCAGCAGAGCAGGGCGGATGCCACCGCAGACATTCGAGAGCTTTGGGGGAACAGAGAGTGTCATCCGTGTTGCCTGTGGACCCAAGGTAGGGTGCTCAGGGAAGAGACTTTTTAAAGGTTTCAGCTCCAGAATGAAAAGATAAGCATTCACAAGCTGCAAGAACAATGCGCACCAAGAGCCAGCCATGTAAAACGTCTATCCCTGGAAGTACCAGCACTCTGGCATCTTATTTTTAAAACAAATACATACTAAAGTAGCAAGTCATACATTGATTCACACCCAGCCTCTATCTCCTATCCCATAATTTAACCGTTTCCTTCCTCCTGCCCCCACCCCCTGATCAGAAGCATATTCCATTCTCTGTATCCACCTCAGATTGGAAATGTGCTATGAAATAAGCGACCTCTGCCTTTGGTGGCCTTTCTCCCCTCCCAGTACTCTTCCTATCACACCTTCAAGGCCTGGCATGACCTGCTCCTTCCCCACCTCACCAGCTGCAGCTGG